GCTCGCCTTTGAAACGAACGACGCTGAAATCTCTCGCACGTCCAAAGAGACTGAAAGTGTCAGGTCCAACAAGTTACTCATTCGCCTTTTTCTCAGTCCCACCATCTTTACAGTTGTGTTTGGTGGGGACACAGGAGAGGGACCTTCTCGGTGGCTGCTCGCAGAGACTGTGGAACTCCTTTCCACTGGAGGCCAGGATGGCCCCCCTCTGCAAGCAGCTAAAAGACATTTCTCTTCAGGCAAGCTTTCCCTTACTGGCTACATGAGTGGGGTTTTAAAATGGACTGCACTGCATGTGTTTTGGTGCTGCTTATGGATGGTTTTGTATGATACTCATTGATCCTTTTAGCATTGTATATGTATTGTTACTCATTTAAATACTATCTTTTAATTGTTGTAAGTGGCCTTGGATCCTTTTAAAGGAGACAGGCAGGTTAAAACTGTTTGAAACATACAAACCAATTAATGAGGAAGAAGCAACAGGGAAACCAGCTTTTCTGCCTTTGCTGCTCTCCAAGAGGAAAGAGGAAGACGTGCCAATCATTTTGGGTGGAAGTGACTGTTCCAATTTGGAGTTCACTACCCTGGGATGTGGTCTTGCTGTGGGTTAAATCACGGAAGCCTCTGTGCTTCAAGGTCGGAAGACCAGCCGTCGTAAGATCGAATCCAGGCGACGGAGGGAGCTCCCGTTGCTTGTCCCAGCTCCTGCCAACCTAGCCATTCGAAAGCATGGCAAAATGCGAGTAGATAAATAGTTACCACCTTGGTGGGAAAGTCCATGTCTAATCACGCTGGCCACATGACCACGGAAACGGTCTACAGACAAATGCTGGCTCTACGGCTTGGAGATGGGGATGAGCACCACACCCTCATGTCGGACATGACTGGACTCAATGTCAAGGGGAACCTTTATCTTTACCTATGCTGGGGAAAGCTGAGGCCAGTACAAATATGCATTTCCCACTTGAAGAATGTTGATTGCAATATGTTTAAGGAAGTATTGGATAAGATCCTGTAGTCATAAGTGTTTGGAAGGGATATAATATATAATTCTGTGCCACCAAGTCAATTCCGACTGATGGAGACCCTTTCCATGGTTTTCCAGGTAGAGACTACAGTGGGGTCTTGACTTGAGAACTTAATCCGTATTGGAAGGCGGTTCTCAAGTCAAAAAGTCTGTAGGTCAAGTCTCCATTGACCTACAGTGCATTGAAAACCGATTAATCCCGTAAGAGGCCGTTTTTGTTCCATTTTGGTTTTTTTTCTGGTCTGTAAATCAAATCTCAGTCTGCAAGTCAAACCTAAATTTTGCGGCCAGAGAAGTCTGCAACTCAAAAAGTCTGTAAATCAAGCCGTCTGTAAGTCAAGGGTCCACTGTACTCAGAAGTGGCTTTGCCTTTTCCTTTCTTCTGGGAGGGAACCCTGGGACTGTGCAGTTGGCCCAAGCCCCCCCTCCCCAGACTGGCTCTCTCCTCAGGAGGCCCAGTGGGGAATTGAACTCCCAACTTCTGGCTCTGCAGCCAGACACCACTAAACCACTAAGCTATCCAGCCCTTGTTCAGAGGCAAGGAGTACACCGAGATCGGAGGGTTTTTTTACAGATTGAGATGCAGAGTGAACAGCCACAGTTGCTTTGCACAAGGAATGCAAAAGGAATACACCAGTCAGCTAAATGCAGGTAGAAGAAATGAGGAAGAGAGGACAGTACTGCGTACTGTAGCTGAAGAGCGGGATGAGCAAACCTACCTACTTCAAATGAATTCAAGGCTCTGAGCCTCAGTGGGATCCATACAAGATACTCAAGGGAGTTGCAGATGCTTCTGTTCATGATCTTAGAGAATTCGGGCAGAACACACGGGGGCCCTGAAGACTAGATAAGGGCAAATTTGGTCACCATGTTGGAAAAGGGGGAAAGAGATTATGCTGGCAACCTCAGATCACTCAGCTTGAGATCTGAGATCCAGGGAAATTTTCTAGAAGAGATCAATAAATGGTTGAGCTGTGAGTATGCAGAAAAGAATGTCGCAATTCCTGAGACCCAGCTGACATTTCTTTAAAAATGTTGGTTCTGGATGAGTGTAATGGGCTGGTGTTGATCACCCCACCACCTCGGGAGAGTCACAAGCCTTGGCAGACCAGAGGAGTACAATGGATGTCATGTTATCTAGAGTTCAATGAAGCTTTGATCCATGTCCCTTGTGATATTCTTGCACGCTAGACAATGCTGTTGTCAGGCGGAGTTACATCTCGCTGACGCAGTGCACCCCAAAAGCGCTCATCTGTAATTCCACAGAAACCAGGCAAGCAGAGAAACCTAGAATCCTGGACTCGGAAGGGGCCTCGGAGGCCATTGGGTCCAACTCCCTCCTCAAGGGAGGAAGCCACATCAAAGCAGATCTGACAGACTGTAGTCCGATTTTCTCTTGAATGCCTCCAGCGTTGGAGCGCTCACTGCTTCTCCAGGTCCTGGGTTCCCTTGTCATACTGCTCTAACAGTTAAGATGTTTTTCTTGATATTCAGCCAAAATCTGGCTCCCTGTTGTTTGAGCCCATTATTACGTGTCCTGCACTCTGGGATGATGGAGAACAGGTCCTGCCCCTCCTCTGAAGGACAGCCTTTCAAATATCCTATCTCCCCTTTAGCCTTCTTCTCTGAGGGATAAACAGGCCCAGTTCTTTCAGCCTTTCCTCCTAAGCCTTGGTTTCCAGCCCTCTGATCATCCTTGTCGCCCTACCTCTGAATTTGTTCCAATTTGTCAGCATTCTTCTTAAAGTGCGCTGTTCAAGATCCTGCTCCCTCTTAGTATTAACGAGGCCATTATTCTCTACCTTGTAGCTGGGCATTCATTCCCCCACACCCCCAGGTGCAGAACTTTGCATTCAACCCTGCTAAATTCCATGCTGCTGCTTACAGCCCGATGGTCCAGCCTATCAAGATCATTTTGAACGTTGTCTTCCAAGGCCTCTTAGCTATTCCACCCAATTTTGTATCACCTGCCGATCTGATCAGTATTCCCTGCACTCCTTAATCCAAGCCATTAATAAAAATGTTGAAAAGCACTGGGCTAAGGATGCTATCACAGGGATGTCCCCCCCCCCCATAAATTACTTGGACGAAGGAAGAGAGAAGATGTTTAGTTACAAGATGGGTGGTAACTGGCTTGGCAGTGCCGCAAGTGAAAGCATCTAGGCGTTTAAACAGAACAGAAGGAGAACATGAGTCAACAACAGCCTGATGCGGTGAACGCAATACAGTGCTGCATCAATAGGAGCATAGAATCCAGATCAAGGGGAAGGAACCGGAGCACTCTTTTCTGCTATGGTCAGACCTCACTTAGAATACTATGCCCTGTTATGGACAACACGGTTTAAAAGAGATTGATGCAAGCTGAAATGCCTTGGAGGCCAGTGCTAAAGATGGCAAAAGGGTCCAGAAATCGAGCTGTGCAAGGGATGGCCGAGAGCGTTGAGTACTCGTCGCTTGGAGAAAAGCGAAGCGAGAGGCTGCCTGACAGCCTTCTTTCCATATCTGAATGGCTAGCCTGCATTCCCTGTGGCTCCTGTAGGTGGGAACGAAGGTCATGGATTCAAATGACAAGACAGGAGAGTCTGACTAAACTCTAGGAAGCACCTCCTTGCAGGAAGAACTGCTCATGGACTTCCTTTGCAGGAGTCATCAGACGCTCCTTGTGTCCCAAGAGGCTCCGGAGGGCCCTCTTTCATGGAGGAGGCTTCAGCGGGAGAAATCCCTGGTTCAGCCAAGTGCTGAACGAATCGCCCTTGGCTCTTACACCGGTGGCGTGAGTCTCGTGCTAAACTAAGTGCATTGGCTTCTTGTCCATTCTTGATATGTAAGAGAAGCAGCTATGTTCCTGCTGTGGGTCCCATCAACACCGGATAGCCTAGCCAAGGCTTTGGAATTTTGCCCTTTAGGTATAGGTCAAAATTGTCTTTGGTTCTCCCTGTTATTTTCCCTTAATGATTAGATCATTTGTTTTTAACAACTGGCCTTTTTTCCTTTCTAGCGCGGAGGATGGATAGGTGTTGCTCCCTGCCCCAGAGGACTGGACAACATCCAATGAGATCAAATTATGGGAATGTAGGTTGTTGGGCTGATATTTAGGAGAAACTGCTTAGAATAGGAAGAACAAACCTGAAAATGGAACCCAGTGCCTAGCTGGGCACAGGGGAGTGGAAGCACGGTATATGATATATATATATTGCACGCAAAAGGTCCCAATTTCACTCCCCAGTGTCTCCAGCTATGGCTGGGAAAGACATCTGTTTGAATCTCTGGTGGCTGAGGCCACTCTAGAGAGTCCTGAGTTTGCTTGACTAAGGATCTCACTTGACAGAAAACAGCGTTTTTAATGTTCTGACGCTGCCCTTCACGGGAGGTCTTCAGTAAAAGGCTGGTCACCTCTTCAAAGTTTTCTGGACCCTCTGCATGAAATATTAGGCTGGATAAGAGGAGTTATGAAGCACTTTTGAAACCTGTGCATTTTCCTGAGCTTTATGGGTTTTACCAGACCATTCACCACCGGAAGCATTTCAATTTTTCTTTTGCAAAAGTGAAACCCAGAATTGGGTTATATAAACCAACAAAGCAGCCCCGTCTGACTCCAAGAAATGTCTCTTGCCAAGAGCACCCCATGCCACGGGGCAACGTTTCTCTCACTATTATTCCTAGACACAATAAGACACACTTAATGGCTTGAGTACCACGATTGGGAGCATGGGACGAACAAAGATGTGTTCAGGCTATGTTACTGGAGCAAGAAACACCACAGAAAACAGGCTAATTCATCAGATCCACCCGGAAGGGGATCCCATCCACTTTGAAAGGTTTGAAAAACCTTCCGGTCATCCTGACAACTCACAGACCCAACTTCAGTGGTGCATTCTTCCCCCCCCCAAACCTCATTTCATTCATGAGACACCTAGATATAGAATCCACACTCTCCATCCCCCAATATTAAGCACTTAAAAAAGCCATTTACCTTTGTTTTCCGATGTCAGGTGCCTCGCGACTTTGGCCCCTGCGCTTTGCATCGGCTCTTGCTCGTTCACGAACCGGAGAAACCACCGCCGTCGTAACTGCCTCAGTTCGGAGTTTCTGGACAGCAGCCACCGCGGCCCATACCGCTGGTCCGAGGTCGGTCCACGGAGCCCATCCACGTCCTCTAACAGTTTGGGAGTCCACGGGGGATTTTGCACCGGCCTTATCTCGGCATTTCCGGTCCCCGCCAACACATCCACGGCGGGCTGGGCCTGGTTGCCGGACGCCCCACGGAATCCTGGTTGGAGAGTCAGGCGGGAGCGCTGGAGGAGAAGGAGGCTGCCAGCCATTAGGTAAGCTGCCGTGAGGAAGAAAAGCAGGAACTGGGTCCTCCGAAGAAACTTCTGTGGTCTGAAAAAAGGTTTGGCCATGCCCTTACTGTGGACCTGGGCTCCTCACGCCTTCAGGACGGCTCTCCGGCCACTGCTAGGCTTCTGGCGCGTTCTTCCCATGGGTCTGCGTCATCCTCTCGGGACCTTTCCGCTCTCCAAAGCGTATCCTTCCACTGCTGCAGTCACAGTCATATCCACAGATCCTCGGCACCCGGCAGGCCCTGGATGTTCAGGACATCCAGTCTACCACCATCGCCGACCATCCCGAGGGTCATCTTCGTTGTGGCCCATTCCGTTTCTGACACCCAGGTCCCCGACTCTGCAGAAGTTTAGAAAAAAAGCACACACAGGTTTAGCTGGCAAGGACAACTTCTCACAACACCGCTTTCCTCATAGCGCAACGTGGCTCCATCTGTGGTTGAGCGTGCTAGACTTTAAAGACCATCGTCCTACCAAAAGGCTCGAGTGGGAGAGAAGCAGAATCGCGAACCTTCAGCTGCATGTAGACACCCTGCCTTCCCTTCCTCGTGGCTCAAAAAGAAGATTGGCCCTAGAAAAGTGTTCTCACTAGAGATGGGCACAAACCCAGCTCTAATGACAACACTTTTCCAGTGTTCGTGAACACTGGCAGTTTGTGATGGTTCACAGTTCATTTTTCCAGTTCGTGCCTGGAGGGAGGGGAACCTTCTGCCACCCTCCCACTCCCTTCCCACGGCCCCCATCTCCTTCCTAACCTGGTCCTGCCACCTCCTCCACCATCACCACCATGACCACCACCGTCTTGAGAGACAGTGGCGCAGCTTTCCTTGTAGCCGTCCGTCCGGCGTTCTCTGCACATGGACTTCCTTCTCCGCTGATCGGTGTGTCCATGCATGGAGACAGCTGGCCTCACTCCTGCAAAGGAAGCTGAGCCACCGGTCTCTGAAGATGTTGGCAGAAGAGGCCAAAGCAAAAAGGTTGGCAAGAACAAGTAGGGAGACCACAGGGGCTGCGGGAAAGGGGCCGGTGTGCAGTTGTTGTTGTTTTAAATCAAATAGATTTAAATCGCAATTTACAGTAATTTTTTAAAAAACTCAAATCAAATCATGACTTAAATAAAACAAATGTAACTTAACTTGTCAAAAAAATATCCAATGTTATTTTAAATAGTGATTTAAAATTATGGTTTACCCTTGCTTGATTTAAACCAAATCCACCCTGATTCAGTTTGCACTCCCAAGACTACCACATGGAGGAATGGAGGAAAACAGTTATTATTCACACATCTCTTCAAATGTTTTGATCGTTTCATTTCAGTTGGTTTTCCAAAATTTGCAAATGTCTTCATACCAGGAATGGAAAGAACCCAGGAGATTAAAAAAATTTAAAAAAAACTCGTAATGTCAGAAAAATTGAAACCTATTAGGAAAGTGTGCTTGTTCCCCCCTGAAAGACTGCTTTCCTTTAATACGGCACATAAACATTCAAAGGCAGGACAAAGCAGAACTGAAAGGTTTTCTGAATTTTAGGTGAGCACTAGAAAATGGGAAGAAGCTTGGCTAGGAGTGGGTTTGTATTATACGTGTGAAGAATATTTGGAATACTTTCCCATTCTTGGAAATTTTCTACTTTGCCAAGACTTCTCAGCAAAACTTATTCCTTCACCAGGGAGATTCCTTGTTTTTTCTTATCTATTTTTCTTTTTAGTTTTCATTTTCCACCTGTTGTTCTGCACAAGAAGAGGCCCCAGTTTCATGTGGTCCAACGCTCTTTCCAAGGAATGTGGTTCAAGTCAAGCACTGTGTTGGGCAGGAAACATAATCATTTTGTGCAGATTGGCATTTCTTTGGGGGGGGGAAGGAGAAATGTCCCAAAACATCCAAGAAATCCCACAGAGAACCTTGTGCAGGGGGGAAAATGGCACTGAGGAGAAGAGAGTTGGGTTGGGTTTGGGTTGGGTTTGGGTTGAGCTGGGTTTCCCACCAAGAAAGTCACACCTCATATGGTAACTCTCAGGCTGCAAGAGGTATCTGTGGATCTCAGCCCGTGCTGTAGAAATGGGCCTGCCCTTCTCTCAAGGGAGAGGGCTTTGCACCTTCGTGAGCTTTGTGGTTCATCGTTATGGGCCTAGATTTGACTCGCCTGGATTTCCAAAGCCTCTACCCACTCCCTTTAAAAACACATGCCTCCTTCCAGCTTTCTAAAGCTTCTCAGCTAGGCTCCTCTCTGCCCTGCTGATTTACACAGTGGTGGGATTGTCCCCGAGCGGGGGAAAAAAGACCCTTTTATGCTTCGGTTCGCCTTTCGCCTCTGGCTGCAATGAAAGCCGGCTTGCGGCCAACCGTCTTGTCTTCTTCTCAAAGGACCGCCTTTCCTGGGGAATCAGTTTGGAAGAGGAAAAAGAAAACATGACATTTCTTTTTCAGCTTGCGTGACAGCAGAGGAAAACATTTGCACAGAGCTCTCCTTCTTCTCCTTCTCCTTCTCTCTCTCTCTCTCTCTGATTCCAAATGAAATGTTCAACAAGAATGGAGTAATTGTAACATGACGGATCTGCTGCTTGAATATTAAGAGCCTGAAATACACGGCAATGCTATGTATACTAGGGAGGTCTGGTCTCATTCTGTATGTATAATTTCTGTATCAGCTCTGTGTGTCTTCGAGTGGAGATCCAGCTTATCCCCTCCTCTTCTTCAAATACTAAAAACTACTCAACCTTTTGCATTTATATTGGAACAAATGCAAAACTCTAGAATTTCTAATGCACCGGAATAATACATCAACGGGCAGAGCCATACATTAAGGAAGACGGAGCACCGCGCTCTTTGATAGAATCCCTGAACCCAAGACCCAGGAAGAAAGGTTCTTAGCCTATCTAAAAATGCTAGGTTATTGCATCTATATTAGGGAACGTTTAGTACAAGCATGTATGGATGTTAGGAAAAGCTGTTTATGAAAGCAAACCCCAATTTCCATGCATTTCTTCTAAAGTTGAAAAGTGCAACAGAAGGGTTGGAGCTGATGTGGACCAGAAAGAGAGTCATCTATCCATTCTTTGCTACTGTTGCCATCATCCCTTGTCCTTTTAATAATCATCATCATTGTCTTAGAACTAGAAAGGGACTCAATGGACTATTGAATCCAGCCAGCACTGTGGGAATTGAACTCACAACCTTCGGATCTGCAGGTACATAGCTAAGGAATTGAGCTACCTAGGAGTTATTTTCCACAGGCTGATATGTCAGTGGGGCTGTTGGTAGGAAGGACCTTAGATGTACTTGGCTCCGTATCACTACAAGCAAGAAAGATCCTAGAGACGAGCTGTAGATCATGAGCTGAATTTGAGCCAACTGTGTGATGAGGCTGCAAAAAAGGCCAGTGCGATTTTAGCCTGCATTAAAAGAAGTCTTGTCTTCAAATCCTGTGAGGCACTAGTTCCCCTCTATTCAGCACTGGTTAGGCCTTATCTAGTTCTGGATACAACACTTCAAGAAGGATGCTGAAAAAGTGGAGGAAATTCAGAGGAGGGCAACCAGGAGGATCAGGGGGCTGGAAATCAACCTCTAGGAGGAAAGACTTAAACAAACAGGCTCAGCCTCGAGAAAAGAAGACCGAGGGGGGATAGGATAGCTCTTTTCAAAGACTTGAAAGGCTGTCATTCAGAAGAGGGGCAGGGTCTGTTCTTGATTATCTCAGAGTGCAGACACATAATAATGGGCTCAAGTTACAAGAAGACAGATTTAGGCTGAATATCAAGAAAAACTGTTAGAGCAGTAGGAAAATGGAATCTGTGATCTTGGGAGGTGGTGAGCGCTCCAAAACTGGAGGCCTTCAAGAGAATATTAAGACCACGCTCCATCTGATCTGCTTTGATTTTTATTCTTGCCTTAAGCAGGGGGATGGACTGGATGGCCTTACGGGCCCCTTCCAACTTCATTATTCTGTGATTCTATGTGGACAGGATGAGAAACAAGAGAAGGAAGGGGAAATGATTACATCCTCGCACATGAAATCAGAAATCACTTCATTTTTTTCCTTTTGGTAGCAAGGTTTCCCCCCTTTTTTTTCTTTGTCGGTCTATCTTGGGGATAATTTGTGCATTTACTATTATACTTTTTACGTGCCATGGTTTTTGCTTTTGGACAAAGAAGACCAAAGGATGGCAGACCGACAGATACATAAAAGGAGGAGCGGGTGAGTGTGTGACGAGAAGCAAAGCCAGGCATACTCACTGAATGCCAGTGAACAGCTCAAGTTGGTTTGGGAGAGAAACCAAGCAATTACCGCAAGGAGGCAGGCGAAGTTTCATGGCGGATCCTCAAAAGCGCTGGGGGCAGGCGTCAGCCGATGGCAATGTTTTTAATTTAGCCTTAATTTCTCAACTGAGCTTCAACGCGACTTCGTTAGACAAACGGTACACACGCCTTCCCTCCACTCGTAATTGCTCAGCTTCGTTTCCTTTCTATACCCATCCATCTCTTACGCAGGCTTAGAGAGGAATGAGCTTCAGACTCCATTGGTCTGAAGTAGTGATTTTTCTATTATGCAATTTCAAGAAAACAAAAACCCACCCAGCCCCTTTTCGTGATATCAAGAACTTTCCTTGTTCGCTCGCACTCCAAAGTCCAAGGAAATTGTGGCTGTTTTATAGCCACACTATTCAAATAAGGTGGGTGTACGTATTATTCCCACCCCATGATACAGTTCATTCCAGAACAAAATGCTTTGTTATTTCAAACTCTGACTGTGATTCGGGACCAAACATGAGATGGGCAGAATCTCTAGAGGAAAACAGAGGCTTGAGTTTGCAAGAGTGGAGCAGGGCTGTGGAGGTCTTTAGACTTTTTGGAGATGACTCATTCATTGGGTCACCACAGGCTGGAGACCACTTGACAACACACAACGACAAATAATCCTGATCTCCATCGTAAGTATGACAATGGGACACATGGACTTGAGAGGTGGTGAGCACGCCAACGGTGGAGGCCTTCAAGAGAAATCTGGGCCACCCTCCGCCCAATCTGTTTAGATTTGGATTCCTGCCTTGAGAGCAGGGGGTTAGACTGGATGGCCTTGAAGGGTCCCTTTCCAACTCCATGGTTTTATGATTTTATATTGACCAGATGAGGAACAAGAGAAGGAAGGGAAAACAGAAACCAGAGTCATGGGGGGAAAAAGGCACAGATGGGACTACTAAGAAGGGCCAGCGTCCCAAAGATTCTATATCAGCTGAATAACCGGTTGCAGGATGGAACCGAGGAAGAACGATAAGGAACTGGAAAGGAACAAATGAGGTGACACCATATATAAAATGAAGCAGCAGGAATATCAGAATTGTTC